GAGCCCCACCTTCATCACTTTACTACACAGGAGGGCTGGAGACTCGTGCTTGCAAGCTGAAGTTTACTTGACTGGTTTTTGGGGCTGGATAAAAGAAACGCAGAAAGCTGAAAATAAAAAAAAAAAAAGAAAACTTCATTACAGACATGCAACAGTTCCTCCTGATGGGCAGGATCTTTGAAAGTTGCCTTATTTTGACATTATTTTCTTTGTTTATGCCCGCCTTCCTTAATGTTGTTGATTGTACAACATTTAATTGCAATGCAAACCTTCAGTCATCATTCAACGAAAGCTGTCGGTCGGCTCCTCCGTCTGCTTGTCGCCTGCCTTGTAGCCGGTTACAGTCTTCCAAGTATCATCTGGTCTGTTACAAAACCACCCTGCGTGCATCTGCATCTCGCTCTTGCGCTGAATCTGGAGAGGACAGCACTCCCAAGGCTAGATCGCTCTCATCTTCATGGAACTTGAGATGACTGGAATTCACAAATTCTGAATACTTGAAAAGGTTATCACAGTACACCTTACGTTGTGGGTGCTTTATAACGCACATATTTAAGTAACGTGCTTGAAAAGGGTATTACGAGGAAAGGCTGCTCTGTAGAACAAAATTAATTGGTTGCTTCTGTTCTGGAGTGACTGTGAGTCTTATAACCACAAAGGCGCATCTTGTGAATGCATGACGTAGTTGCTCTTTTACGGGGTGTTAGCTGTCCGAGAAGCTGCTCGGAGAATGCCACATGCTGCCAGCAGACCGACCCTGCCCTCGCCACCTGGAGGTACAGCACCCTGTTCCAGCGATCGGAGCATGGCGCCATTTCCCTGAGAGGCTGCCTGTGTTTATTGTTCTCTTTTTCTCTCCAATGGTACTTCATCAGTTTGTGGTTCTCTTGAGTCTGGGGCTTAAAGCTGATGGCGATTTATCTGCCACTTTCCCATTAAGACTCTTCAGTGTCATGTCCACATTCTTCTGCCTGCAGGTATTGGAGTAGATCCAAAACTATTCATGTGTTAATTGCAAGATGAGGAGAGCAAATGGCTCTTCTGTTCAAGGTCCAGCATCGGCACCAGACTATGACAGTCTGAGTTAAATTGCATCCCTGCCCTAGTTTTCACTGTTTGAAGCATTATGGGTCACTGGCTTTCTAGAAGAACAATATGTGATTCATAGAGCTGCACCAACATAAATGACTCCCATAAATCTGCTCAGTTGCGCATCACGTTAGCTGTAAGTTGTGACTGCTGCCTGATGATTAACGAGCAGCACTTCCTCTGCGGCCCGCTCGGCAGACAGACATGCTGTAAAATATGCAGTGATGCACCATTGAACTTTTTGTTGTTGTCAAAGTGTGCTACTTAAATCTAGCTTAAAAACGGCAGCATATGTTATCTTGGAATTAACATGGTTTAATAAGGTTGTTTTTACATGATGCCCGTCCGCTTTGGACATTTCAGAGGAGAATCTTGGAATGACGATGAGAGAATTGTCGAAAGGGAAAAGGTGGCAGTAACTCTATCAGAGTTTGAGCTCTGCGAGTCCGACGTCTGATTGAAAAAATAATCCAAATTGCATTTGTATTCATGAAACACCGAAGAATGGATAGTCTTTTAAATTAGCATTCACGTGACCTGATCAGGATATTGAATCGCTCTTCAATGCTTCTCAGACCTCCCACATTGTACTTTTTACTGTTAATAGAAAAATATATTTTCCTTACACATGTACATTCTATATCTTTTAAAGAAATGGTCTCTTATTTTAATATCTTTTAACACTTTTAATTTTATTTTGATTCGATGGTTATGTCAGTGTTGCTTTTATGAAATAATCTAAACCAGTTGTGTCCTTTCAGACATGGGACTTAATTTCTGAACAAAGGGAAATCGGCAGCGAGAGTCTGCTTGGGGCGTTTTAGAATGAACCCGTTGAAAAGCTCTAACAATCATACTTTGGGATTTTGTTTTTAAATCTTTGTTTACAAATCGCAGGTCGTGATGAGGGTGGGTGGAGCTTGGAACTTGGAGAGCGTATTAAGCCGGTCGACGCTTCGGGTTTTATTTCCCAACATTTGCGGAAGAGTAATTAATTTATTACTGCGTGGTGATGAAATCTGTGATTCAGACTGGCATTGTTTCCGTTTTAAATACATGTCCCTGCCTTTAAAGGCATCCCCAATGGAGGCTGAAACTACTGCTCGCTGAACACTGACAGGAGAGGCAGAAACGCTGAAAACGTTGCAGCTAATGCGTTTTCCAGTTGTCTTCCTGCCTTTTGTTACCCCGGTTGGAATCTTCTTAAGGTTTATGGATTTGTTGTTTTTTTTTTGCTTTTATTATCGTGGGCTTTGTAAAGGTTAAAAGGAGGCTGTAGAGCCGATAGCTGAATCACCTAAGAAGTGTTCACTTCGAACGCCTGACGCGTATCGGCTGGTACACAAGTCCAGGATGTGCGAACGGGTCCTTCTCTGCACGCGCGGGCTCTCGGAGGTCCCTCCCGTGAAGCGCTGGCCGACCGGTGAATGCTTTCAGATGCCTTTGCGTTGACGGGGTGTGGCGACTAGACTCCTGCTTCCTGGCAGGTCCTGGGTTCGGTTGTGGCCTGCGGCGCCTTCTGTGTGGAACTTGCAGGTTCTCATCTGTGTGTGGGGTTTTCTCCAGCTGCTCCAGCTCCCTGCCCCTTTCACAGATGCGCCATCTTGGTTCATTGGTGTCTCAGTGTCTGATTTGTCCGTGCGCTTGCTTCCCCAGCTGTGGACGGGCATTTACAGAGGAGCCAATTCTTTCTGAATCAAAGCCCTGTGTGTCAGCCTACCTTACACGCGATTTCTTTGCTAAGCAGCCAGCATGCCCTTTAACTGTTCTTGTGTGTCGCGGTGCATCGCTAAGGGTGGGGGGAGAGTTTTCTGCCCATTTTAAAAGGGTGAGGTAATACTCTACTTTGCAGTCAACTCATAATGGCTTAGAAGTAGACAGCTAGTGATGTCTGGGGATGGAGAAGGAGAACAATTCCATAAAGCCATATAAAATAGCTGTTTATGATCCATGCAATGTTAATAGTTCATTATCATTACAATATCCTAGACTTGTGGAGAGTAAAAAATAAAAGGAAGAAAAAAGAAAAAAAAATATAAAATGAGAAAATGTAAAATACTTGAATGAGATCCTGTATTATAACATTTAATATTCATAATATCTGCTCTGTAGGCTGATGTGATTCGCTATTAGTGTTCTTTGTAATTTGTAGTAATTATGCTTTTCCTTAATAAATAAAAAGTATAAAATGTACAAAAAAACCTTTTAAACACCAATGTGATGACTCTTGTCGGTTTTGTTTTTGCATGTTACTGACAGCTGGGGCTTTTTTCTCAATTTTATATTTGGTCTGAACAAATCAATGAACGGAATGTTATCTACACTGATTTCCTTCTGTTTGGGACTGTATCCTAGGAGAAGGGGGGAGAAAACAGATGACAGTTTTCTGTCAGTTTGTCCACCTGCCATTAAGATTTGTGCGGTCATCCACAAGAGCCTACTTCAATGTTAAAGCAGGTCATGCTGGTGGAGAACAGCTCTGGGGCTTTCCTGATGCATTTGTGTTTTGTGTGGTTCATTGACACCAAACGAGTTTATGAATCTGTGTGGGTGAGGAAAAAGATACTCAAGATAATTTTTTATTTTGCCTTTTGAAGTTCATATCCAGGATTCACAACCTCAAAGGTTTGATAGTCCAGGCACGCACATACCTGTTAACTTAAAACATCCACCTGTGAAAATGTTCTCCAGACAGCTCCTGCGTCTACTTTACAGAGAAGTAAGCGATTGGTGTGTCGGGGTAAACAAATGTGGTCATGATTTATACTAAAATACTGCATTGTAAAGAAAGAAGCTATAGATTAACACTGCTTTGATGGGGGACAACTGGGATAAAGTTCTTGAAGGAATGCAAAGAGCAATTGCTAAATGAGTTATTTTATAGTTTCTTCAGTCTTAAAACCTGGAGCAGTTTAATTTGAAGATGGTTTAAAAAAATAGATGCATTATGTCAGGAATTTAAATCATATTTGTAAATGTTCCTGGAACAGTTTTAAAAAATATATTCATTCTTCCTTGTTCTGTAGATTTGCAATTATATGTGCAGTAATTAAATGATTGTCTCAGCATTTAAGTTTAGTACCCGCTGTTCATGGTAATCAGTTTAAAATGGCTGTTGTGTTCTAAGTGTTCGGTATTTGGTCCAAACCCAGATTTGTTTTTATAATCCCATTCCTTTCTCAGAAAGCTTGTTTGTTTTAAGGCTTCTGAAGTTCAGTGTAAACCACGGAATGTGCAGTTAGGATTACTAAAATAAGACTGAAGGACAAAATAAAAAATACAAAAAGCACTGCCACACAAAGAGCTGAAAGAGTAGAAACATTTCAGGAAGGTGCAAGCGCAGTGCTTCAGTCCTGCCTGCCTCTCCCAGCTCGGAGGGTGGGGTGCCCGGCTGCTGGCAGGCGGAGCCATGCGGGGGGGGGGTCACTGGTCCTTCTTGGGCGCGTCAGGGATGCTCTCGCTGAGGGGCGTGAGGCTCAGCAGCAGCAGGTGGCGCTCGTAGGCCTTGGTCTGCTTGAAGGTGGCGTCAGTGCCATGCAGCCGGTCCAGCACTCCCAGCACCCCGTAGCACTGGTTAAACCTGGGTGAGAGCACAAGAACAGGAAGCCGTAAGGGGAGACCGAGCCCGTTCACCCACCTGCAGGCCCCTGCTGCTCACCTCCTGGGGGACCTGCAGAACTTCCCCCCACGATCAAGCTCCTGTGAGTCATCTCTTCCCCCTGCTCCTCTTTTCTTCCCTGGGCGGATGCAGGGTTGTTGCTTGGTTATTCCTGGGCAGAGAAGACCTGCTCAAGTCATTACAAAATCCTGAGCCTCTCCGGGTTTTTCAGTAGTTAGGAGAAAACACCTTCCCTGGGCAGGCAGGGGGCAGTCTCCTTCCTTCCTGGCTCCTCCATCGGTAAGTGATTCCCAGATGGGCACAGTGTGCAGAATATTTTGCTGGAAAGCCCTGGGTTGTGAGGAACCCTCACTGAGAACTTTGGCAAGTCAGGATCGTGAAAGAATCTCTTTTTAGCAACAGTACTGCCCCCCAAGCAGAAAAGTTGAATTAAAAAACTGGTGGTATATGTTTTAGATTAATACAAGGGCAGGTGGACAATTTAGATGTGCCATTTAAACAAGTCTCACCGTTCAAATGCAATGCAGAAGGCAGCTTGACTACCCTCCCCACTGTTAAGATGAAGCACATGAGTGTATCCAGCTGATCAGTGAGGGTAAAACAGGCCTCTTGTGTTTGGATTCCTCCCAGCATTGCCCTAGCTGTTTTGCATTCCTGTAAGCAATTCCAGAACTGGCTGAAGTGAGGAAAGTTAAAATTTGCCAAAACCATCACTCACTTCTTCCCTCATACATCCCCAATTTCCTGATGCAAGACTGCAGTTAAGCTGGTATCTGAACCTGGTGGTCTGTAGTATTCTAATTATATCTTATATTGCATCTAACCTACACAAATTTGTAGCCCCTTGAGTCCTGTGGTCTAAGGTCCTGTGTCTGCAGGCTCTTTTTGATAGGAAAGCACTGCACTTCTCTTCTGTCTTTTCCTGTCTCTCGGGAGCAGTGTATCCGCGTTGTGTGTGACGCCCCCTTTTGCACATCATCGTCTCAGCTGTGTGACACGCTGACAGATCAGCACCTGTGGCTTTTCAGCTTTGCACAGCGCAGGCAGGAGCCCAGAGACGACCCCTCATTCAGACGTGCTGTTCTGTTTCTGTACTTTCTATCTCTGCACCGCTCCTGGTACAGTTATGCCCTGCGTCATCTAAAACTGGGGTCTTTAAACTGCTACTAGAAAGATCCAACCCACCAGGGCTGTGTTATATCACACCTTTCTCAAGGCCTCAAACACATCCGTTGTGGTCAGTCGGTCAACCAGGTGATGGGTTAAACACAGCTATCTGAAACCTACATCACGGTATATTAAATTCCTTGATGCAGCAGAGCGCTTGCTTAATTGATTAGTAACTTAAGTGTGTTCCCAATTTTCAGCAACAAACGACCGAGGATGACCTAAGACCTGTCTGTCCTGGGGATCTCGGGGATCCTGCGGACCAGGAATCCCAGGGTCCAGATCCCTGCTCTCGAACCGTGCAGGAGAGCAAGAGCAGAGCTCCTCGCCAGCGCTCGGTGGGACTGCCCTTCCAGCACGGCTCTCCACGGCCGGGGGACCCCGCGCTTGCGCACCCCGTCTCTGGCGACGCTGAACCCCAGCGGCGCGGCGAGTCCTGCTGCAGGCCTCCCCGCCGTTCTGACTGGGGGAACCGGCTGCGGGTCCCGTTCGGCAGACAGTGACCCCCGAGCCCGGCTCCTTACTTGAGGTGGTGGAAGTCGTGGAACTCGGGCGAGGGCAGGAGGGGCAGGTGGTAGCCGCAGTGCGAGACCGTGGTGACCAGCAGGGCCAGGGTGAACCACAGCATGGTGGTGGCCGCGTGGGAGCCCAGCAGGGCGGGGCCCAGGAGCACCGGCAGCATGTTGGACAGCTGGGGGGACAGACAGCCCTCATGAGCAGGACACCGCAGCTCAAGAGTCAAGATTTCCTTATTTGCCATATACAACAAGTGTACTGGAATGCTTACGCCCAACTGTACCCAGGAACATTAGAGGAAAAAAAATAGGCACAAATGACAAACAGACATGGACAATAAATTTAGACAATAGACGTCATAATACAGCCAAGACAGGACATAGTGCAAATAGTGCTCTACCTTAAAGTGCAGGTGCTAATTTGAGCTGTTTATGATGCAGACTGCTTGGGGGAAGAGGCTGTTTCTGAATCTATTTGTCAGTGTTCTGATGCTGTGATTCCTGCTACCAGAACCCAGGGGTGGAAACAGATCGTGGCCAGGGTGAATTGGGTAACGAAGTATAGCTCGAGCCCGGTTGTGGCAGCGGTCGAAGTATATCCAGTCGGTGTGGTATGGTGGAGCCACAGTACAGGACAGAAAATCCATACAGAGGGTAGCTCAGTCCCAGTGATTTTCTGCGCGGACCTCACAGCCCTCTGTATGGCTTTTCTGTCCTGCAAAACGCTCACTGCTCCTCTGGGCTGGAGCCCCCGAGCTCTGACGTTCTGTAGAGCAGCCCCACTGCTTTTAAAAAGCAGAACAACAATCAGGCCAACATTGGCCTGCTATGACAGTTGGAAAGAAAAACTTATTTTAAGCCAGTTCACCCAGCAGTGTTCTGTTCATTAGAAACTGACCTAAAGATGACAAATACCTGCTGCCGCTCCCTGGCGCAGGCATGAGAGTGAACGAAATTTCCTATGTAAAGCAACAAACCACAAAACATTCAACCTGACTGTTGCAATTAGCTCTTTAACTCCCTTTTAAAGGGACTCCTCAACAGCGATGATAGTTCACACATTCATAAATCTCTCACTTTCAATCGCATGGAATGTCCTGCACTAAAGTTTAATCGCATAACAAAATTCTTATAAAGTCTTACAACATATTAATCCCCTTAATCCCCTTGACTCTAGATGGACTTTCTTCTGGTGCAACACAGTCACGAGCCAAGGGCTTGGGAATTATGGGCTGTGTCCTCCCAGTCTGGATCCCTCCACCATCTACACCATAGAGGGTAGAGAAATGGGCCCTGTGTTCTTGAGCTTGGTTATGTTGTTAAAATTCGTTGGGATCTGAGTCAACGTCCAAACTTCAAGAAGCAGAGGACAGAGGTAGCAGTGCTCTCTGAAGAGCCACGTCTCTCAGACCCGGCCCTCAGCCCTCAGCCCACCTACCACGTGCTCCAGCGGATGGGCGTACAGAGCGACCACGCCGACCGGCGCCGTCCACTCGTGGTGGACCTTGTGGATGTGTTTGTACAGCGCAGGGTGGTGGAACAGCCTGGAAGAGATGCACGTCTTTACCCCACTGGACACGACCGCCCCCTGCTGCCCCGGGAACGC